CTCTTCTCTCTACAGCACATACTAATAAAAGTACGTGTATTATGTTTTTGAGACGTTATCCGCCATCTTGTTTTTATCTAAAACCCGTCTTACTTATTTTTCAAAACAACGTTTCGGAGGCTGGATTCTATCTCCGTCTTTAGGTAAAACCTACTCAGTTGGGCACAAATATAACCTGACACAGGTTTTACTGGAAAAATCAAAATTAGTCCAACATGCATATAAAGAAGGCCCCAGAATATGTTGGATTGAAGTGAAGATCTTGCAGATTGAGCCCAACACCACATAGAGGAAATACAAGGAATAAACCCACATGTCTGCTGGATCACCCCATCAGTCAACCCAGTTTGGACATCTCTTCAATCTGGACCCTCGTTATCACAGCGGAAGTCAAGAGACTGCAGCGCCGTCAAGTGTATATTGAGTGGAATAAATTTGTTTTTCTTGTGTTGGTACCTTAAGGAGTATTTCTTATCTCCAGCGATGATTTATATCGAGATACTTCTCTGGTGCAAGACCTCATACGTGTGGAGTTTCAATAATTTAATGTTTTGTCTCACCTCTCGCATATTGTTTGTGCTGTGTTTGATTTATGTGCCCCATCTTGGAGCTGGCACGGGTGTCCGGAGATAGGGAGTAGCTCTATCGATTGGGCCCAACTACATAGCTTTTACCTGAAGACGGAGACAGAATCCAGCCTCCGAAATGTTGTGTTTTATAAAATAAACCGAACGATTTTTAGATAGAGACAACGATGGATAATGTTCAAAATAATAGTATTTGTACTAATGTACCATCGTCAAAAATTTTAGATCTTATCAGCACATAATAAGTCTTTTCAGTTTGTTTTCACTAGTCGTTTCCTGGAAACGGATCCTAACAGTGTCCTCTGCTTACGTCATTACTGGCTGGTGAATGTCTCACAACTGACTGAGCCTGAGTCATACGTTAAGACCGACGGTCGGTAGGCCAGTCTGTCTTGGAATAAAGCACTGAACTTGGGCTTATGACTGGATTTCTATTACTGTCAGTCACTTGCGGTTTTGTTGATGTGGGGCGCTCTCTCTGACGAGAGGACGAGTCTTTCGTTTACAATTGCTGCTGGTCCTTGCCATCGCAGTCATTCACGGGTCCGAATCCCGTGGGACTGGCAAACATATTTTACTTTCTCAGATTCGAGACTTCCCTTTTCCCCGCCTCCTACGACTCGCAGGGTTGCGGTTGAGGTATTCGATCCCCTGACTATACTCTAGATTTGTATCCACTTATAACCTCTCGGCATGGACCGCACAGAAAACGACGTTCCTCTGATGCTGTTCAGTTGTTTTTAGTAACCTATTGCCTAGCAGGTGGCGTTGATTATAGAGTAATTACGAGTACCTAGCATCGGGTCTGCGTGCTACAGCAACCTCTCATCCTGTTTCCCTGTCTACCCCTACGGCCTACCACTCTGCTCGGTGGATGGATTCCTGAATTCCAAGGCTGAGAGATTTTGATGAAGTTGTTTTGGGAGGTCCTTTTGTTTCGTTAAGTGAACACCAAATTCCAAAAGCGTTTGAGATAAATGTTTAGGATCTTTTCAAGTTAAATATTTTTGGGGGCTGGGATAGTGTAGGCGGTATAGTGACTGACTACGGTCTGGACGGCCGAAGTTCGAGTCCCGGCAGGTGAAAGATTTTTCTCTTCTCTACGTCGCCCAGACCGGCTCTGGGGTGCACCCAAACTCCATCTAATGGGTATCGGGGGCCATTTCCACGAGGGTAAAGCGACCGGGGCGTGAAGCTAACCTCTAACTTGTGCCGAGGTCAGGTAAATGTTGATCTATACATCCACTCCCCCATACGCCTTCATGTTGTAGTGCTGAATTAGTTAAACACAGACAACTTTACCTCTACCATAAAAAGTAAATACCTATAGCACAATGAACAATTTCTGAGAGTGCTGGTGGACACCATATTCATGCATCTTGTTCTTCTGTTTCAAGCATCCACCACAAGTTCTAATCTTGAAACCCTTAAAGGCGTGTGTTTTTATCAGAGCAAGTATGATCGCCCTGGATGTTGCAAAGCCCCCACAAGAGATTGGTGCGGTGTTGACACAGTTCGCTGGCCATTCTGCTACACCTGGCCAGCTTCCAATTTGAGCCGCTAGAGTGAGCCTTCTCGCACCAGCGCTCCTACAGTCTGTTCCACAAAGTGTTATCTTGCATGTATATTTAGCATCGGTTGCCTGTATACGGTTATTTTTAGAAGAAGGTCGCAGTGCATGCCACACGTTGGAGGTCCGGTTTTAAACAGAAGCAGTAACACATTGTTATTGACTGCAGTCTTCTTTTCTCCTTTCTTACATTTTTTCGCTTTCTAGCTCATGTCATTCTCTTTTACTGTCCCTATTCCTGTTTCATTACTTATCTTTTCCTCTAGTTCCTTCTTTCTTCGCTCTTCTGCAACTCCATTTTGTCTCTTTTTCTTCATTCTTCATTTGGTCGTTCAGTTCTCTTAGTTTGTCTCCCTTTCTCTGTTACTTTCTCATTTATTCCATCGTTGTTCTTCCTTATTTCTTCCCCCCCCCTTGGCACTACAGCCCCAGTGGACCTAGGCCTACCTCCATGAACTTCTCCGTTCACTTCGGTTTTTCTAGATCTTACACATTCGGTAGGACTCCTTGGGCGAGTGATCAGCTCATCGCAAGGCTTCTACCTATACACAAACACAGAAAAACGCACATAAACATTCATGCCCTGAGCGGGATTCGAACCCACGATCTCGGTTTCCAAGCGAGCGAAGACAGTGCACGCCTTAGACCGCTCGGCTACCGTGACCGGCTCCTTATTTCTTACTTTCTGTATTTCATACCTTCTTTCTTCCTTCCTTCCTTTGATATCCTCAATTCTTCGCTTTCCCTTTCGCTTCATCCTTCCTTTTTCGTTTATTCCTACCTTTTCTTCCTTTATTGCTTTCTTTTTCCATTCATTTTGTTTCTCTTTCGGTCCTTCTTAATTTGTTCCAACCTTTCTCTCCTCCTTTCCTTTTCCCTTTGTTCTTTCCTCTCATAGTCTTCTTCTGTACATTGATCCTGTTACTGCTAGCGCCTTTTCCACATAAAAGCGGCCAATTTCATGATTTCCATTAAAAGCTGTTTTTAGAGCTCTGTAACATAGAATATGCATGAGCGGTCATTTTGGAAGATACTAGGGGAACAGACGGCGTATCTATGTGATGGGCTGGCTTAGCTTGCCTGTATATCTGTCCCTGCAAGACGCAGACTTTGTCAGGACTCTCATTTCAAAGGAGGTGGCAGATATTGAAACTTCCGTGCTGACGTTTATCGCGTTACATACCTTGGCCTCTCACAGAGGAAAGTGAAAAATATGTGTCTTGGACAAAGTGGCAGTTGATGGTTTCATGCTTTGTTCTGTCCTGAGGGTCAATATAAAAGAATGAAATATTATCACACCATAAGAGGCGAAGAATTTTCACTTCTGTGCGACTCTCAGCTTCTCAGGTTCCATGCTTAATCGAATTAGTCTGAGATTGATGTAGAAACGTGAGATGTAATGTTTTCATGGCGTTGAAGATTTCATCTGTGGAATATGACACGGTGTGGCGCAGTCTGGTCGGTGGTTACCGAAGTTCAGTATCGGTACTTAAAGATGGAAGAAACATGTTCTCCCGAAACGCTGATACTTACTTACTTACTCACTCATGGAGCTGAGCCCTTCAGGAGGAGCCGCCAATTCTGCAGCTACTCAAGAATTTCCCAGCATTTTATGGAACCCGGAGGTTCATCACCGTGTTCACAAGAGCTCTCCACTGGTCCCTATCCTCAGCCAGATCAATCAAATCCATGCTATCCCATTCTATCTCTCTAAGATCCATTTTAATATTGTCCACCCACCTACGCCTTGGTCTTTTCTGTGGTCTCTTTCCTTCTGGCTTTCCCACCAATATCCTATATGCATTCCTCGTCTCCCCCATTCGTGCTACATGCCCTGCCCACGTCATCCTTCTTGACTTGATCATTTTAATTATACTTGGAGAAGAGTACAAGTTATGAAGCTCCTCAGTATGCAGTTTTCTCCAACCTCCTGTCACTTCATCTCTCTTCGGTCCAGATATTCTCCTCAGCACCCTGTTCTCAAACACCTTCAGTCTAAGTTCCTCCCTTAATATCAGAGACCAAGTTTCACACACATACAGAACCACAGGCAAAATTATAGTTTTGTATATTCTAATTTTTATGTTTTTGGACAACAGGAAACGCTGATACACCTTCCGAAATACATAGTATCGTAAGGCACAATTGGAATTACGGTGTTCTCTTAAGCTTATTGGAAATGTGGTCTGCATAACTATAGACCTGGTAGCTATAGCTGTCACGGTTGTGAGTGCCTGTAGACGGAGTTTGGATTGGTGACTCGATTTATTGACCACTTATATATTCACGACCCCTGACTACACTTTACACATCACTAACACACAGACTAGTGTCTTCATCCTATTACAGTCTCCACTAGCCGTTCCAGGTAACGGAATTTAATACAGAAACTATAACAGTCTCACTAAATTACACACCCCAGATATCACATATAAATTCTTCTCTTCATAGCCGGATTTTCAACCGAGCACTCTTGGAACTAACTCTCGGCCATTTCACACCATTTTCCTAGTCTTCTCTTCACCGCATGTCTATTAACTAACTAAGATCTAAACATTGTCTCGGTTATAACCTCTCGGCACGGACCACATAGAAAACAGCTCTTCCATTGTTAGTCAAACTGTTGCATTATTAAAAATATGTTGCCATGTAACGGGCGTTGTTCCAATGTTTGTTTCGCGTCCGTTGGCTGGAAACAAATGTTTCTGTTCTGTTTCTCTGGCTCCGCAGTTCTTGCTTAGAGCAAATAGGCCCCAATAGTTATCTAAAACTCATAATTATATAAGGTAAAGATAATGAGACAGAACCCTCATATGTATCTGAAGAGAGCGCCTGTCACTTACCACTGCGTGATGAAGTCCGGTCCGATGCTGAAGATGGTGGAAGTCCGGTTGGTGAGATCCGTGCCGTTGAGGCTTGCCTCAGTGCTGCTCGCGTTGCCGTCCATCGTACCACAGTCACCTCCACCATCCGAGGCCCATCGTTCGTCTCCTCCTGCGGCACACATGCGCAAACGTAATGTTATCTGTTAGAACTTTGCTTTATCCTGCGCCGCCTGTACAGTAGTCCGCTACAGATCGCTGGTTCAGTGTACCCGTGGCTTTTGGGCACACACTGAAACAGGTGTCTCTCTTGGTGGAAACGGAGCTCTAACGGTACGTGAAACCAATTTTATAGCTTACGAATTAATATTGCCGCATTTTTAGACATTTTGTACAGATAAAAAAGGTAAAGTTATCCCTTTAACAGGCCGTGCAGGCCAATAGGGTTGTGAGACGTCCATATTCCCACATTTTCTAGACGATTGGCTCAGAGTTGGCGGTGACTTTGTCAGCATTACGCACCGGCCGGCCCAACTTTACCCCGGAGAAGATTCCTGGTACTCATATCTGTTAGAGGCTGAGTCGACTCCAGGGCCATAGTGCAGCTGCAAGGATTGGGTCAGTTGAAAAATCCAATGACAGCTAGGGAATCGAACCCGCGACCTTCAGGCTTGTGGCATAGTGCCTCAAACAGCTACGCTACCGCGTGGCCCAGGCATTATTTATAGGTCTGCTATATTTTATAGAGGATATCCTGGGAGGAAAGATCAGTATTGTGGGAGGTCATAGTATCGGCCATTGTAAGGGAAAAAGTGTGTATGTACAAGTGTCCTATTCCGAACCCTTTCCCAGATAGAGCTCTTTCACTGTACAGTAGACTGTACACTGCACAGACGAGCAACACGCTATGTCCTCACACTAGTTGCACCGAGAGAGAGCTATTTCACTGTACAGTACACTGGACAGACGAGCAACACGCTATGTCCTCACACTAGTTGCACCGAGAGAGAGCTATTTCACTGTACAGTACACTGGACAGACGAGCAACACGCTATGTCCTCACACTAGTTGCACCGAGAGAGAGCTATTTCACTGTACAGTACACTGGACAGACGAGCAACACGCTATGTCCTCACACTAGTTGCACCGAGAGAGAGCTATTTCACTGTACAGTACACTGGACAGACGAGCAACACGCTATGTCCTCACACTAGTTGCACCGAGAGAGAGCTATTTCACTGTACAGTACACTGGACAGACGAGCAACACGCTATGTCCTCACACTAGTTGCACCGAGAGAGAGCTATTTCACTGTACAGTACACTGGACAGACGAGCAACACGCTATGTCCTCACACTAGTTGCACCGAGAGAGAGCTATTTCACTGTACAGTACACTGGACAGACGAGCAACACGCTATGTCCTCACACTAGTTGCACCGAGAGAGAGCTATTTCACTGTACAGTACACTGGACAGACGAGCAACACGCTATGTCCTCACACTAGTTGCACCGAGAGAGAGCTATTTCACTGTACAGTACACTGGACAGACGAGCAACACGCTATGTCCTCACACTAGTTGCACCGAGAGAGAGCTATTTCACTGTACAGTACACTGGACAGACGAGCAACACGCTATGTCCTCACACTAGTTGCACCGAGAGAGAGCTATTTCACTGTACAGTACACTGGACAGACGAGCAACACGCTATGTCCTCACACTAGTTGCACCGAGAGAGAGCTATTTCACTGTACAGTACACTGGACAGACGAGCAACACGCTATGTCCTCACACTAGTTGCACCGAGAGAGAGCTATTTCACTGTACAGTACACTGGACAGACGAGCAACACGCTATGTCCTCACACTAGTTGCACCGAGAGAGAGCTATTTCACTGTACAGTACACTGGACAGACGAGCAACACGCTATGTCCTCACACTAGTTGCACCGAGAGAGAGCTATTTCACTGGACAGTTCACTGTACGCTGTACAGACGAGCAACACGCTATGTCCTCACACTAGTTGCACCGAGAGAGAGCTATTTCACTGGACAGTTCACTGTACACTGTACTGACGAGCAACACGCCATGTCCTCACACAAGTTGCACCGAGAGAGAGCTATTTCACTGGACAGTTCACTGTACACTGTACTGACGAGCAACACGCCATGTCCTCACACAAGTTGCACCGAGATAGAGCTATTTCACTGTACAGACGAGCAACACACGGGTTGCAAAGTGCTTTGATGTTGACAGTGGAATTTTCGAAAATGTATTATAGCAGTTAAACTGAACAACTTCGTCACTTGAACAATAAATACCGGTATTAGAAACAGTACGTAATATCTCTTTCTTATCAATGATTTTGGGATTCTACGGTGAAGTAACTCTATCTCGGAAACCGTTCGGAATAGGACACGTGCACATAATCATTCTTTTGCCTAGATTGACCGATACTATGACCTCTCAGTTTATTGACCTTCCCTCCTGGGACATTCTGTATATACTTAAGTCATTTTTACCTAAAGAACCCCGCGAATGTTGCAACTTTGTCAGCGTGCTGACGTTAACAGATTAATTACTGTTGTCTCTCATTTGAAGTTCGTATATTAAGATGTTATGGAGACGTTAACTTCCAGTACCGCTACACATCGAAATTTAAACAATTCTGTGCGTGAACAGCCATGGGTGTTCATATCTTAAATTGGGGATTACATATATTATCGTTTTTCTATGTGCCCAGGCCTCCAGTTGGATACGAAGTCACAACCGAATAACACACTTGTACAGCTATCACTGTCTCCCTCTTGCTACTCCCCCCCCCACCTGAACGTTCAGGTGTTCCGTTTCGGGAAGCAGAGCTTTCGCGTGGAGGATTACAGGGATTATAAATTTCTCGGTCGATTTCATTTCGCTCAGTCGGCTCAAAGGTGATTTTCTCGAAGCTGGATATACTCGAGTTCCTTCATGTTGAGTTTCGTGCTTTAGTGGATGAAGGTTGGCAGCTTTGCGTTACAGTGGCTACGGACCAAATGTCGTTCGCTACAATAAGACATGGACTTATGCCAAATGTTGTGGCTTCTCGTAACGGGGTTTAATGACGAAATTCAATTTAATTTGACAAAACCAGAAAAAATGCTTAAAATCTGTCCAGTACACAATGAAACTTATTCTTCCGAGTAACCAATTACTTCGTCAGATTTGAAGTCGGAAAATGTGAATACAGTATCCAGACACAAGAAACGGGTCAGAAAAATCTTGCTCCGACTTCCAGAGTTACAACAGCTGATGCGCTGGCGTTGTAGCTCAAGAAACTTTAAAATTGTGTGCGTTTCAAGATTACCTTACAATCATACAATAAATTTGGAAGGCAACACGGATGATTAATGAGGTCAGGATTTTGCGTAATTAATGAAATTAGGCAAAACGAATGTAATTTAAATGTTTTCTTCGAGGAACAAACTCTGTATATTTATATGTCCTTATGTTCCTAACGAGAAGTGTGTCCAACATAATGAAGTTATGAAATTTTATGCAACGTTTACAGTTTTTTTCACTCGTTCATTCATCAATGGCTCTACAGCCTTTTGTTGGGAACTGGCATTTACTTCAGTTTTGTAATCGTTTTTACAGGACTCCTTGGACGGGGGATGAGACCGACTCAAGGCCGTTACCTACAAGCAGGACAACACGAACACAGAATAAACGCACATACAAACATCTATGCTTTGAGTGGGATTTGAACCCATGAATCCAGCATTCGAGTGAGCGAAGACAGTTCATGCCTTAGACCGCGCAGTCACTGTGATCGGCACAGCGATTTGTATCAGCACAAATTTTTATCCACTGAGTTCAGAATATCTTCTTGTGACCTTGATCCCGCATTCTCTGAAATTAAAATTTAATGTGACCTACTGAGATGCCAATGGGCACGCGGTAGCGTAATTGGTTGAGGCACTATGCTACAAGCCGAAGGTCGCAGGATCGAAACCCGATGAGGTGGTTTTTCTTTTCAATTTACTTAATCTTTCAAGCCCCACTATGGACCTGGGGTCGTCTCAGCCTCTAACAGAAATGAGTACCATGAATCTTCCTGGAAGTAAAGGGCCACTAACGCGTAAGGCTAACAAAATCACCGCCATCTGTGAGCCGATTGCTAGAAAATGTGGGAGCCTCAACGTCTCACAACCCTATGGGCCTCCACTGCCTGTTGCAGGGATACCTTTTGCTTTACTTTACTGAGATGTCAGACAGTTACAAAGCGCTATGTACGAATGCAGGCATAGACTTACGTTGGTATGACCAAATCACACATCTCTTCTAATCTTTAAATAACAGCGATATATCGTTTTATTTCGTTCGTAAACTAATTGAAGCGTATTCTCACTCCTGCATTTTCGTAAAGTAAACTGCGTCCATGGCGGTCACAGTAGCCGCGCAGTCTGAGGCATGAACTATCTTCGCTCGCTCGGACGCTGGGATTGTGATTTCGAATCCCGCTCAAGGCATGGATGTATACGTGAACGTTTATTCTGTGTTTGTGTTGTCCTGCGTGTAGGTAGCGGCCTTGCGATGGGCTGATCACTCGTCCAAGGAGTCCTACCGTGTTGGCCAGGTCTCAACAAACGACTGTAATGCCATTGATGAATGAATGAGTGAATGAAACTGGTTCCTTCATACTTTGACATACGACATCTGGACATACATTCTTACATTCGAGACTTAGAACCCCATTAAATTAATATTCATTAAACTTATGCTCGGTATTTTCGATCTTTGACTCGAAACTCGAGCCCAATACCCCGGCGACCACTACCGGCATCCTCTGCCATACCGACAGGGAAGTGTAACTGCTCGAAGGTTTGATTATTGGGTTGACTTATTTCCGTGGTGTCAATGCGACAGAGCGAGAGAGAAGGGTACAGTACGGAATGACCTAGTGTTTAATACATTCAAAAGATAAACTTGAATGAAATGAGTACTTAAGACCATGAATGAAGGAAGAGGGAGATGGTTTGAGAAAATCAGACCTTACATTCACGCGCACGCGCACTCGCACGGTACTTCACACATGATCACAACGGAGAAGGCCACCTTAAATTCCAATTAAGCTCAAGAGAAGCTCGGGCGGTTAGTCGCCGGCTTCTCACCGCGGCGGCCCTGGTTCGAGT